CAGTTTTGGGAGCTGTCAAGAACCGTGTGGCCCAGAGGGGCTGCTGTGGGGTGCAGCAGGGCTGGGCAGGGGATGGCAGTGCCGTGGGGATGAAACTTCCTCCTCTCAGTGTCTTCCCTGCGTGACCCCAACCCCCACTGGGATCTGCACCCGCTTTTCCTCCTTCCTTATCTGGGTGATGCACGGGGCTGTGGTCACCCAGCAGTCATTTTGCAAGACTCACACTCCCCACCTTTGTCCCCACATCGCAGCCCCATGCGCTGCCGCAGCTCACATCCAAGCAGGAGGGGCTGCGCTGCCCTCGTGCACCCCAGTGCTGCAGGGCAAGGGGGTCCCGGGGTCCCTCATGAGGCTGCGGCTTGTCCCCGCAGGCAGCCTGGCTGGGCATCAACATCTTCCTCTTCACCTACTACTTTCTGTTCTTCGACCGGGACGAGCGGTACTTCTACACCAGGGCTATCCTCGGGGTAAAGTTCTCCCCTGCAGCACCCTGTGCCCCGTCCTTGTCCTGCCCTCTCCCAGCCTCGTATCGCTCCACCCCAGTCCACAGCCCATGCTGGTCCCTGTTGTGTCTCAGCCCAGCATCACCCCTCCCAGTCCTTCTCCTTTCATGGAACCAACCATGTTGGAAAAGACCTTTAAGATCAAGTCCAACCATTCCCCAGCACTGCCAAGGCCACCACTAACCCATGGCACTGAGGCCCTTGTCTACATGGTGTGTGAACACTTCCAGAGATAGTGATTCCACCCGCTTCCCTTGGGAAGCCTGTTCCAATGCCTGAGCACACTTTGGGAACAAAACTACCCTTTCCTGGCTCAGCATCACCCCTCTTCCCAGTCCCCACCTCAGCATCACTCCCTCCCATTCCCCATCACAGCATCACTCAGCCCCATCCTGTCCCAGCCCCAAGCTGAGCAGCATGGCTGCAGAAGACATATCCAACCTGTGGCATGAGGCAGCAGTGCTCATCCCTCCTCCTCCTCCTCTCTCCAGTCTGCCTTGGCATGGGCACGAGCATCGGCCAAGTGCCTCAACTTCAACAGCATGCTGATCCTGCTGCCCGTGTGCCGCAACCTCCTCTCCTTCCTCCGCGGGACCTGCTCGGTGAGTGCTCTGTGGTGGCAGGGCCAGCGTGGCC